TAAGATAGACTGCGGTGCTCTCGCGTCTGTTCGTATGGCAGGAAAGGTGTGCATCGTGGTGGGCCTGGCGGAGCTTAAATAAACACCCGTTGAGCCACCACCACCATCAGCCGGTAGGTAGGAGTAGGCGCGTCACGCGCGTCGGACGTGATCGGAGTCACGGAAGTGCATCGCGTTTGGGTCAGTCCGAGGTGCACCAGCATGAACCCACGCCAGCCAGCCCGCACGCCTATGTTTGTGCTATACCGGATAACGGTTGACACGACCTCCTGTTGACCGCTAGCGTGAGACTCCCCGAATGTATGGCCTTGTGATTTCATCAGCTGAGAGGCTGCAACTGTATTGGTGCAGACGCAGGCAGCCGAAGAAAGCAGGAGGCTACTTTTCTGATTGGCTGTGTCCTCAACCTACCGCGGTGTCGTTTCCCAGCTGGGCGCACACCTCAGTTTAGTTTAAGTCAGTTTTTTAAGGGAATGAGGCTTTCGCCCTTGAGCTCCCTATTCATATCGATAAACAGAAATAAAGTCATCAATTACATCAGCAAATGTGAAAAGTTAAGAAGTTAGCGGTAAGTGTGAGCTAGGCGCAAACTGCCGCCGCTAAAACAATCATTATTATATGTACAGTAGGTTCTCAACGACTGAGCATCCAGTCTGCACCCGAGGGAGTTTGTGCGAATAGGCGGGAAGGGCTAGCGAACGTACACGCGGCTCAGAAGGCAGGGGTAGCAAGTCCCCTATTTTAAGTCATTAGTCCCGGCGCCTGCGTGCACCCACGACTAGACTTTGTCTGCCTGTAGCCAATCGAGTGCAGCTTCGACTGTTGTCAAGCCGAGTCGAATGCGGATAGAGCCGCGATTTTACAGAGGCAGCTGGACAGGTCGAAAGCGGCGTGGGTACGCGACTGCGCTGGCGACTGTGGGGACGGACGTGAGTGATCGGTGCCCCTTTACCTCACAGCCACTGACTTCCTCTCCCGTTTGAATCCGTACCTGAGCGGTTTTATTGTTACCTGTGCCTGCTGATTTAAAAGGGAGGCCAAACTACCTAGAAAATAAATGCCCTAGACACTGGAGTAACCAAAAGGACGGAGTGAGCTCCGTGCGAGGACCATCTTCAGATCGGCAAAAATGTCGACTAAACGAGTAATTAATTATCAGACCAATGCATGTGGAAAAATAGTAAGTTTTCGCGAGTGAGTGCTTGGTTGAAGGGAATTGGAGGTTCTAAGGTGGATGGATCCAAAATGTGATTAGGGATATCGCTGATGAGGAAACGGAGACAGAGGCGGATGGGAAGGGGGGGGAGGGAAATCGATCGATCGCGCGGACACCGATAAGCGTATGCCGGCCCACGACGAACGCAAAGCCACAACAATATTCGTTTCGACACAGAATACTGGGCTTGCCATTGAGATGAAGACGTGTTCTGTCATGTCTATGAGCGATGGTACGGCGACCTAAAGACCACTCTAACGGCTTTATTAAAATCATACGATGATCAGTCGTGACCAGGTGCCCCAGACTGGAGCCAGTTCTTGTTTAAGTAGATAAGGGGATGGGGGGAACATGACTTTTAGCGATCCCTCCAGTAATCAGTGATCGCTGCAATGACTGCCACCGCATACAACTTGGCCTGGCATCCGGCAGGATGAACTTACTCGTGAGTTAATTGGTGCAATTAGCATCCCTGAAACGGCTAGTGGTTGGTTAACCTCCCCCGAAGATATCTTGAGTCAAAACTTTCTAGATCCAATGTTCTCATTGGCACCATCTCCTGTAAAGGTAACTGCACCTCCGAGTCCCCTTTCCGATAGATCTCACCAATAGACGAGGACTACACGTTTGGGACTGTTGTTCCTAGCATCAGCATCGTCTGCGCCCAACTTCACCCACTAGCGTCCATTCCATAGGCATGCGAATGTCCTACTCGCCGTCACGTCCCACAGTTTACGTCACTTTCATTTGATCATCTTCAGACAGATTTCGGCAGAATCATTGAATGAGGCTCACCATAAAAATGTGTCGGATATACACAAGCCTATTATCTAACGACCAGAGTTAACATTGCCAGGCGCCAGTCAAACGAGAAAGAACAAATGAGTCGCGATGAGGCTGTATGAATAGGACTCTCAGTCAAAGTTGCAGCCAGGTTTTCAGGCGTTTTGACACACCGAAACAAAACGCTTTGTTATTAAAGGACAGTTTGGAGGGCATACGTTTGCTTTCGAAAACTCCTCTTCAGGCCTGTAAATTTACATTGCTATCGAAATGACTAATAAGAAAAATAGGAAGGAAATGAGAAGAAAATGAGGGAAGCAGAAGTTATTCTGTGGCTGGGGTGTGGGGGGGGTGGAGTGAAAAATAAAATCACCATCACCGTCAGGGGAGAGGGGGATGGTGGGTACTGGGATGGGTAGTTATATGCGGGTGGCTGGCATGGCGACTTTGGGCCATGATAACTGTGGGGCCTGCACGAATTCCTTCTGTGCGCATGGGACTGGTTTGCGTAACCTGATTGCAGCCACCTCTGCCTTTGGCTACAGATGTTGTTCAAGTTATTTTGGATAGCCTAACGGAACTTTGCCAATCACTTGGAAGGCCCGTCCGACATCTACACATTGGTCTGTGTCTAACATGTGTGCGAAGATAGAGATGTTAACGTTCTTTATTTGACCCTTTCCTAACCATGCTGGAAGGTGTTTCCTTATTCCTTTTAAGCAAGTGTCGGCCCGAGCGATCAATGCATTCTGCCCCACAGGAGCAGGTGATACACATAGAAGTGGTCTGATCTAGTAGGTTTTCCCTGCTCTGTCCGTATAGGATGGGGCTAGTGGAGAAGAGTACATGGGTGTCAGCTGCTGGAAAGCTGCATGATACAGCTTGATTTAGGCGCCTTCTTGGAAGTTCACTTGGCATGTCCCATTGAAACGGACCTTAATGAAAATCTCCTTTTTCCTGCCCTCAGCGCAGGGGGCTTTGGTAGTCTTTCTTGGTGTCAAACAGCGGACTAAATTGCGCTTCATGTTTACCGGTAAGAAACTCCCACAACAGGTGTATTGTCCGGACCACGTCTTCTTACGACAGACTCTACGTCAGATACTGCCGTCCAGAAAGGGGAGCAATCTGGACTGTTCTTCTTCCAGCGCAAATTTGATTGGTGAGTATTTTCGACGAATTTTAATAATTCATTTTGACCTAATTGTGAAACAAAGTCGGCCGCCTTAGCGGAACACGGAACCACGATAGCACGACAGTCAATGCTGTAAAGTTTTGAGCTACGAGGTCTCGAGCGGGAATCGTGTTTAATCACCTTTGGGCAAGTTACTCGCCCGGCCTACTGCAAGGCACGGAATCCACCAGTTCTGGTTGCTTAGCAGGTGATTAGAGCGTTGGCTCAAATCAGACCTTGCCCTTGCTGTCAAGGATTCGAGTTCCACCGAGGCTAACGAATTTTTCAAAAAAATGGTAAAAATCCATTATTCAAATCTACCAAAACACCTATGAATTAGGTGAGCCAGGTAATCATCTGGTGGATTCTAGATTGATTGTTGTGGGAAAGGCTCCACATTGCTGCTAACCTATGCTGCCAAAGGATCTCTTCCGGCCGCAAAAACCCTGTCAGTGGATGGGCCATTTAATCTTGAAATAGCAGAAATTAAGCGCTGAGGGAAGTACCAAATACGACTTCGAAGAAAGGAAGAACCAGAAATGGAGGGAATACGGGAGCAAAGGATGTGCGACAAATACGTGAGGCATTCTATTCTTCAGCAATTTTGTAGTGCTTGTGCTAGTAGATTTGAGACAGGTATTCTGGGGTCAAGTAGAAAATTGTAAAATGGTTCGAAATCAAGATTAACTTTCCCGAAGATCTACTTTACTGAGGAGAGTAACCAAAATACCGACTGTGATCAAAAAAACGTAGTTGAGAGAGAGAGAGGGAGAGAGAGAGAGAGTGAAGTGGAGGAGACGAAGAGAGAAATGACAGCCGAAAAGTCGGCGAAGATAAGGATAAAAAACGGAAGTAAGCAAAAAGATAAAAATCGGAGAAATAAATAGGAGGGGCAGAAAAGAGGGGAAGAGGAGGAGGTGGAGGTGGAGGAGGAGGAGGAGGAGGAGGAGTACAAAGGTGTTTTCGCTCGAACGAGTGTAGCAGTTGCAGATCTAATTAGATCAATATATAAGCAAGCTATAACTGTTTTGATTTAAAAAGAAGTATAGTAATAAGCCCAGAATCACCAAAGCACAGTTACTGTGTTGTAAAATCTTATGCGCTGATCCAGTTCCAGAAATGAGTTCCAGAACCGTTTTGCTGAAAGTTTTGAATGTTAGTTTCAAAATAAAGCATTCCTCTCTCTCTAAGCGATTAAGAATGGAATCACATAGCCCATTGAAAGCCTTCTATCGACTTTTCTACAAAAAAATCAACCCATGGTTGGTAAACCACACTCGAAGGATCAGTTCTGTTGCGCTGCCGCCGCTGTACGTCCTCTAAAGTCACATCGCACACGTGTTCTACTTTATTCAGTACCAGTGGTCGCATTGTCTTTGATCCACTTCCGGGAGATGCCCTTAAAACATGAAAGCCATTAACGAGAATTCCGACCGCTGACTGCTCCCGGCATTCATTGATGAATCACCGTGCCTACGGTGACATCTGCGTCATCAGTGTGCCGGTACAACAGGCGGCTATTGACAGTTTCGGCCAGTCAGGGCCCTGTTGCGTGCATGCGCCTGCGAATGACCCCAAACTCTAGCTGGCCAGCTGATTGGTCGAGCTGGACCAATAAGCTGGGCTCTGGCATGCAACGCGTTTAGCATAAAAAACCGCGACGCCCGGAGTCGTGATACATCCTGGTGACACGGATCCCTCTGTCGCACTGGCGATCAGCTCGTGTGCGCCCGTCACAGGTTTAAACAGAGTCCAGCGCTTGTCTGTGCTCTCCTACCCAACAATCAACACCACGACCACCACCAGAAGTCTTTTTTTCATAACGAAAGAATGGGGCGCTTTTGTCACTACATTATCCTCACAAGTCTCCTGGCCGTCTTCACATGCACCCTGGCTCTCCCTATGTCCGCCGTAAGTCATGCTTTTTGCTCTTAAACCAAATTCCCCTTCCCGGTCCACAAAAACACACACACACACATCTTTGAATTGACACGTCAAGGTCACTTGCGTGGTGAAAATGTTGCTTGTACACAACATGACGCGAGGCAGTGTGCTAGGGATCTAATCCATCGCTAGTAGTGTGGAAAGGCGTCCACCTGACAGACCTTCAAAGCGGTTATCGGTCGTCTGACTGTTCTCGCGAGATCACTGAAATCACACTCAGTGGATCACTCACCTAATGTCACCTCGGTAGCGTGCTGCGCGCTTATATAGACAGGGTGACGTAAGAGCACTCAGACAGTTAGCAGTGTAACCCACAGCATCACGGAATATTCCGCGATGTGAGAATGTATGTGTGTACATGTACGCATGCATTGGACAGAGCACTTCCAACCTGCACTTGGCATGATGTCCGCTTGACACCTAGAACACTGCAGTGAGACAAATTACCCTGCAACAAGTAGAGGCCTGCCGTCTGTGTGCCAGTAAGCAGAAATTACTAGACTATCCTAACTACCCGACGAATTGCCGAGTAGGAGTACCCTGACCCTCCTTCCACCTCTTGTCTTCCACAGACCGACCGATACTACATTAGACGGAGACCGGAGCACCTCTTTGACACGGTGGTTGTGGACGAGGCGGTAGAGCTGTGCAAGAAGGAGCTCGCCAAGGACTACATGACGGGACAGGGCTCGGGAAAAGACGAACCCTGGAAGTGGCAGCAAACGGAGGGCGGTGACGCCTACTTCATTCTGAAGTCGGACGTGAAGGACCTGAGCGTGGGTGCAAACTGTCTCTTCCTCACCTCCCTGGAAATAATGGCTCGGCGGATAGCCCTTGAGGCGGCCACGGAGGAACCAGCGGACGCACAGGATCCGCGCCCCACGACGGCCGACTATTTTGTATGAAGCGGAACACTGCACAAACACTCACCTGTGCGCTGGCTCGCGCATGCACATATGCGTATGTATATACTCATTCCCGAGTGTGCGTGGGAACCTGTAGATGTGTTTACAGCCAAGTTTGTACTTTAACCCATTCCCACTAGAGCAGCAGGAACAGCGAAATCTGGGAACTGCACTCACATCCCATGTCTCATTGTACATAAACTTCACTAATAGAGGGAGAGACCACAAACAGAGAG